AGTAAATGCAGTTGAAGAGACAAACGCAATGTGAAAGAGCAAAGCAGGACAGAAAAGCCTCAGACTCCACTGAATGATAAATGCTAACGGTTCCCAGAAGAATGCAATGTCTAGAGCATGGGAACTGGGGGATAAACACACGCATTAGCAAAAAGAAAGTGATATCTATTCCAAGAAAACGGCATGCATGTAATGTCTACAGCAGAACAAAAAAAGGACATGGATTCATCCCAGCAGAAAATTCTACTGAACTTTATTAAAAGAGTAAAGATTAGAGACAGAACAACAGGATAAACACGACGCTCCAGGGAGAAGTCTTAATAAAACTGCAGAGAGTACATGTCTTCCCCCACCAAGGKGACTGGGCAGAAACGAGTTTTAATCAAGGACTGGGCTAGGTAGGAGAGAGATGCTGAGCACAAAAATAACTCTGGCTAGGGGATCAGTGGAAACAGGACTGGGACAAGGGACAGACGGCAACTACTGGCCATGCAGTGAAYGGGAGAAGTCCAAATAGGACATGGAAATGCAGGAGCCAAAGACCCAAGGGAAGACTTTACACCCCTTCTGCTCTCCAAGACCTTCAGAGAGCCCTTCCCAAGCTTGTGGATTTCAGGTCTCGCCACCACTCAAGAGCTGACCCCACTGCAATAACTCGCTCTTCTGGAAGCCCGTTTCTGATCCGTATTCAAAGGGTGAAAAAAGAAGCAAAAGGCTTGGAGAAGCCATCTTGAGTAAGGACATGCAAAAAGACATGGATTTACACACAGGCCTGAGTGAGGACCATCACAAGAGAACAGAGGAGTAGATACAGCAGATATAGATGGAGACATTAATAAAACCAAGCTGTTTAAGAAAAATGAAGCACAATATACATACCTCAGAGGTGGAAAGGAAGACAGAGCACTCGGATGGAGCTGCTGAACAACCCATTAGATGGTATAGCCCACACAAGGAAAAAGGCAAGAAGTGTTTATGGATGAGGAGAGAAGATGAGCAGCATAGTGCAAAGCAATATTCCTTCTCAGGAGCCTACTCTGAAAACTGTTATTAGTCCACCAAATATTGCCAGTCCTCAGAAGGCAGGAGAGAAAAGCTTGTGGTGAACGTGATGTCCCACAGCATCAGCACCAGTGAAGGATGGAAACAGGCACTCCAATTAAGAAATGCAAAACGTTCTTTCATTTCTGGTGCTGTCTGGCCTTTCACAAATTTTAAATAAGCACAGATAACGCTCTTCCTAGCTRCTCTCAGAATATAATGATATTCAAATATACTGCCTTCGCACACACAAACAACTTGTGAAATTATTTGCCAGCATATTAAGCCACTACACCAGATTGCTTGGCAATGGTGCATGTCTTTGAAATATGCAGATGCTTCTCGTTTTTWAAAAAAAAAAGGAGAGAGGGAGAAGAGAGGAGAAGATGTGAGAAGGAATTACAGTAGAACATGATAGCAGAGTAGACGGAACAACAAAATGCAGAAAGACTCCCACCAATATGATACTGTATTTGAAGAAACAGTTTAAAGATATTGAGGGATGAATTATGACGGATGAATTATGACTTTTTATTTTATATATATATAAAAGTGTGTGTGTGTATGTGTATATATATATATATATGGTGTGTGTATATATATATATATGGTGTGTGTGTGCACATAAGCTTACAGACGGGCACGCACACACACAAACACACACACATGCCTACAGGAACAACTAAGCAAAGTCTCACAAATGCTGCAGTCAGTAGTGTTTGTCACGCGTAAACTCCTATTCTGCTGCCAAAGGATCAGCAGACAAGCTAAAAGTGTAGGTACAAAAAATATAGGCAAGATAACTGGAGAGTATCATTTTAAATTCCCCCATACACAGCCTTCCTGAGAAAAAGCAAGAGTCTAAAATTAGTGTATCTATCACTGAGATCCTCTAAAAAATATTATATATACATACACATACATACATATACACACTCCAAACCTATTTTACATAATTTTCCTACTCCGAACTCCAGTCCTGCACTATATTAAATAGAACCAAGACTGCCTAAATATAATGGTTCCTTAGGGCAGCAAGCCCATTTCTCATTTTTACCAAAAAGGGGAGAGGGAAGGGGCTGAGCCCTAAAAAAAATGCTAATAACAAACTTGGAAAGGTTTCCTAAAATGCAACTATGAAAATTATTCCAGTGAGGGCTGAAGCTGAATTTAGAGTATTCCCTAATTAACTGCTTCTGTTCAGTACTTTTTAGTGAGTAAACGTGCTTTTCTCAGGGAGATTATACAATTGCCATAAAAACACGGATTTTAGATATGGGGTCGAGGAAACACAGGATCGGGTAAAAATTGATGACATATGCTCTCAACCTACAGATTAAAGGCAAAATCTGAAATGTATAAAGCATTATACAGCTTCATTAACAGCCTGGCAAATGGCATTTTATTAACTAAYGCAAGAGGGAAATATCTATTTTATCTGTACTTTGGATGTGGGTAGCTTGCTCAAAAAAAAAAAAAAAGAAAGTGTTCCCACTCAAGAGAGGCAGAACTGGGCTGGCAATGTGCATATTCATAATGCCCCTGCGTGAGGCACAGGCGTCATACTAAAACGTGGTCCAACCTTATGTTGCCAACCAAATCATTTTTCATGGGTAACAATGGCACCTTCAGGAAGCAGAGAGGGGGGAAAAAAAGTTCTTTCTAATGAGAAATTGATTTATAAGTCATTGCAACCATTTCAAAAGGACAGGTCACTGCTGGTTTCAATGACCATCAACAAAGCCAGGGAGTCTGAAAGAGCTCCAGTTCTGGGGGGGTGGAATTCAGATCCCACCAGCAGCAGCAATTAGACATGMACCTTCTGCACCCGTTCCGTGTCACTCTAGAGATGGAGATGTAAAGAGCAATACTGAGGAGCCAGGTTGTCACATTTTAGCTTTGCATTAATAACAAATGCTATCACTGCCTGTTCTGGCACATTTGCAAGCTTGCTTTTAAGTACAAGGGGCTGGCATGCATCTCCACTATAGACAGGAAAACAAGAGCAGCCTTGTTATGATTAAAAGGGTCTATTTCCCTCTGCCTTCTGTCTTCTGTGTCCATCTGCACAGCTGCTTTGAACTTGGCCAAATCCCAGTGTTAGGGTCGCCCGCAGTACATATTTTAAATCAGCAGCAGCCTGCGAAAATTTGCTGCTCCAGTCGAGAAAAATCTCCAAATTCTCACTTAAATCGTCGATGAGTGATTCCGTAGAACATTCATCATCTTAGATGGCCTCAACTATTTGGAAAATTGCAGCCAAATGCATCTAAAAATCATTTACTGTTTCATGAGGAGAATCAGATAAAGCCAATATAGACATATGCAAAGAAATGAAGGGAAATCACTGTGGACAGAAATGAATTCTGCAGATGCCAAGATCTGATTGAGTGATTAAAGGGAGGGCACAAAGTTTCTGTCTGAGAAGTAATATGTCTTAGAACATGTGAACGTTGGGAAATGAGGTGCGGGAAAGACTGTGCATGGACAAGACCTGTAGAATCAGGAATGACAGCTTATTTATAAAGTTATCAGGCAATTTTAAGCACATATAACGGTTTGGGTTCTTACTGGGCTCTTCTCACCTATGTCTACTCCTCAGCTACGTCTACTCGGAAGGAAGGAGAGCCACACGCTCTGCTTCCCTAGAGAACRCACTTCCAGCACCAAAAACCTCTGCGGAGTCACAGTTTGCAAGGCTTTGGGATGGTCACATTAAAGAGACACAAGGACCAAAATCAGAAACGATCCAAAAGAAAGTTATGCCCTTCCTAAACTTCTGTTGCCCAATCAGAAGCCCACGAGGATGGAGGGAGAAACAGAGCCTTGCACTGGCTAAGCCCTGCCAGTCCGTCAGCGGCGCGTGGATGCCCACAACGCGCTCTTCGGTACACTCCAGCTCACACCACTCACCCAAGAACCACAGCCAGGGGCAAAGGCACCCGCCAACCCCATCCTCACCACCTCTCATAGCCTGGCTTTGCTTCCATCGTGAATTTTGTAGGTGATTTTATTTAAGTCCTGTGCTTTCAGGTGTTATTGAATGGCTTATGAGGCAAATTCATAGCAAAAGATTGATTTTTTTTTACCCAGCCAACTTCTTCTGTGCTCCCGTCCCTGGGCAAGAGATGCCCGCTAGCTCCATCCAACAATTATTGCTTTCATCAATTCTGGGCTTAAATGTTTTTATTCAAATGGCTCTGCATCTCATTCCAGAGACCAATGTATAATAAAGCAAGGATGTTCCCGGCTGCTACAAAACTAATTTTAACCTTGAGCAAATCAGGGATTACACATTCATCATTCAAACTATTTAAAGATGTTACATGCCCTTTTCCCCCCCTCGTTAATTTAATAAACTCTCRGCACAATAAATATTCCCCTTACAGTCGGAGATTCTTTTTCCTTTCTCGCAAAGAGAAAACCTGTGTTAGCAGTTGGTAGTAGGTGTTAATCCAAAAAGAATTAACTTCTGTAACCTAATTTTTACAGTGTGGCACATTTTATCATTAAATACTATCTTAACCAGCCCTGTGGTCCTTTGCATGATGCCGATGCATGTGAGCAGCACAGCCACCCCTAGCAGAGCACGCTGTATTGCTTCAAGAAAAGGTGAACAATAACAATGAAAACAAGAGGACAGATCATCTGAAGAAAATATATATATTTTTTTAATACACTGCTGAACCTCTAACATGTTAAAAAAGTCACACTATATTTTTAAAAAACTTACAAATAGCCAAGAAGGAGTAATTTTGCTATGTGGCACCTCTTTTCCTTCCGAAAGAAGAAAACTGTTAGCACATCCATTTACTGTCATGCAGAAAACAACACTCATGATAATTTTAAGGAGAAAAGAGGAAAACTATGGGCTCAATCTCCCGGCACCATTTTACTGATATCTGCCCGAAATCAAAGGGCGAAGAGCTCTCTGCCACCGAAGCCTCCTCGGTACCTACCTCGTGCAGAGGTGCTCGCGGCGGGGATGAGCAGACGTCTTGGAAACAAAAAGATGCCCATTTAAATCCAGCCCCTTGGGCTGCTCAGAATTATTTCTCAGCATCCGCCAGTTTCCCACGACAAAACACCACAGGAAGTTTAAAGTCGCCTTTTTCTTTTTTTTTTTTTCCCCCTGCCTTTTCCCTCCCTTCCCCGAGACCTCAGTATTTCACACCAAACTGAAGGCAGCGACCCCAGACCCTAGCGGGATGCCCTRGGCTCGGCCCCGAGCGGGGACATCGCTGCCTGCCACAGCGCGGACCGGCCTCGACAGCGCAGCTGGAGGGGAGAAACGGGAGGAASGGCGGAGAGGCGCGTGGGGAAGCGCGGCGGGTTCCCGTGCCGGCCCCGCGGGCGGCGCTCGG